TAAACAGCAGGAACTTTGAACCTCTCTAAAAGGAAAAGGGGAAGCTTTTTTAGATAAAAGGTCCCTGTACGCAAAACAGATAAATTTATGGTTGGCTTTCTTGGTAACTCTGTTGAAATTGGCTTTTAAGGAATGTAAAAGAGTTGCATTTTGTGTACTGCTGCCCAGTCAAAGCAGATTGGTCTACAGGTGTTACTAGAAGAACATAGAGATGTTCTACAGGTGTTGCTGGAAGAAATATAAAGCCAACTATGGAATGCAAGAAAATGAATGGCTTAGGGTCGAGGGATAAAGGCAGGATTGGTAGTTCCAGATGGCCCTAAAGGAATGTTTATTGTTTTCTGCTTGTTTTGTTTTGATCTATTGCCCTTTTCCTAGAGTCACTTGGACCATTGAGGTGGCTTATAAATTGCACAAACAAATATCAAGTCAGTCTGTCTAATTTAGTTATGTCTGCTGACGGGCAGCGTCACTCTAGGGTTTAGATTGGGTGATTTTCCTGCCTTACTTTAAGCTGCCACAGATCCAGTCCACAGCTTTCTGTATTAAAGCATGCGTTTAATACAGTTCTTGCCCACTCTTCCTCTTTGCCTTGATTCATCAAGAGAAAATAGTTTTAAATTATATTTTAAATTATCATTTTAAAATACATGAAAAAAAATCTCCTAGGAACTCATGAGACAATGGGAAAAGTTAAATAAGTAGAATTAATGAAGAGGTCTATAACCCAAAAATAAATTTAAAATTCAACTTTAAACAATTTCTGGAATAGGATTTCAGAGTTGTTGAGAGTCATGTGGCATACACGTTTAAATTATTATTGTTGATTGCATAGTCATTCAGATGTTTAGACTGGATTTGGCATTTTTATCCACCTACTGAGTCCTTCCCAAGGACTTGGGATAGGCAGATGTTGTTTGATGGTGTTAAAGATATTGTTGCAGGATATAAACTGTTCCAAGTAAAGCTGCCTTTTGCAATTGACTGATGGTGATTTTATCAATGCCAACGGTGTTCAAGTGGTGCTG